CCGCCCGCTCCCCTCCTCCTCTCTCTCCTCTCAATTCTATCCGTCTCTCTTCCGCTCTCTGCGTTCCGTTCCTACGTGAGCGACGCGCGTTGTTTTCAATCGGTGACAATTCCACACCCTTCCTCACGTCCAACCACCACCTCGTGGCCACCCCCGCCCGTCATTTTATCCTCGTTTATCCCGGCCGCCATTCGGCGCCGGCCGAGCGGCTAACGCATTGGCGTTAACGCGCTAATGCGATACGTACTTTATGTCGACGGCGAGCTGCGGGGAATGGGGATGGAGACACACGCAAACATACACGCACGTTATACGCACGGAGGGGTTTCGGTTGTACAGCAGGAGGAGGACTCGCTCGTACGCGACTAATATAACGCGATTTTGACGGCGCGATATACGTCGTTCCGTGGCTTCCTCTCTTTCTCTCTCTCTCTCTCTCTCTCTCTCTCTCTCTCTCACTCACTCTTCCTCCCTCTCATCGGAATCGAAGGTGCGATCGAGAAATGCATTACCCGAATCGCAGAGATACGCGAGGATTCCTCAAGAGGCGCGTGAAGCATGTGTTACGCACTCCACGCGTGCTTTAAAGAGGTGTACTTCATATGGAGAACAACTATTGTAAAAAATAAGCAAGGGCCAACTGTGTAAATCATGTCTATGCTTTACATTAAAATGCCCCTTTTTTTATTAATTATTTTTCAGGAGTGTATATACTGTTAAACACATACCGTTCGTAATATTAAATTATAACCACCAATTGGAGTTATTTATAATTATTTCTATAGCTCATTGCTGCTATTTAATATGTCGTTAATTTAACTAGAACAATGAAGTTAAACAATTAAACTCAAGAAAATGTATTAAATTTGACCCGAATTTAGTTTATTGTTTACTAAGTGCAATCGTTAATATGAACGTTATTTACTTTGAAACTAACCACAGAAATGGATTGATTTACATTTTGACACACGCATGGAGGTTAAAAATAACAAAATGTTATTTAACTCAAGGGATTGGGTTACCATAGCTTTTTTGATATTAACGACACACGTAGGAGAGTCAGATTATCGATTTCCAAATCGCTAAAATTAGAATACAGGAATTCCTTCGATATGCATCGCGTCCGTTTTAATTACCTTAACAAAGCGCAATGTTTCACAAGGTACGATTCATATAATAACATCCTCGAGGGCTTGAATGCAGCGTTAAACAGAGGCGAGAACAGAAGAATTCAAACTAATCAGCCGCCGATCCTATCCCGTGCCTCGCGGACGCGTCGCGATTCTTAATGGAACGCACGCGCGCGCGCGCGCACACACACACACACACGCATGCACGCACACGTGAGCTCGGCGGACGTGCACTTTGTCATGCAATTATCCCGAGGAGTATACGGCCCGTTCCGTTGCGTGGTGAATGTTAATCTCTATTTACCGACGACGATGGCGAACGTCGCGTCGTCGTGGTTAGGCGCGAGATAAACGTCGATAAGTTACGACACGAGATTCCCCGGCGGCGGTACAGTCCTCTCGCGCGCACCTTGCACTTGCGAAAAGGTCAGTTGCAAGTCGAGAAAAAGAGAGAGAGAGAGAGAGAGAGAGAGAGAGAGAGAGAGAGAGAGGGAGAGATGGAGAAGAGGAGAAGAGGAAGGAGGAAGGTTTAATAGCGCGCGAGATGCGCGCCTAATGGTGCTCGCGCGGCCGCGCACATCACGTATCCTTGGACTTTGTCGTTATTAATTACCTAACCGGCGGAGCGAGGAGCGAAGATAATGCGGTTGTGCAACAGGTACCAACGCCGCACCTGCGCCTCCTCCTCCGCCTCCTCCCTCCCGCCGCGCCGTTGCATAATCGCGAGTAAGAAGCGCGCACGTGAAGTCGTACGCGAAACGGGGAAAGAAAAATCGATCCCTCCTCTTCCTCTTTCTCTTCCTCAATTTAGAGACACTGGAATACGTACGGAAGTGCAGCGTGTATCGCCGTGCGCGCGCGCGCGCGCGCGAGATTAAGTTTAATTAATTAATTCAGTTTACGCGAAAAACGGCACGAAACGGGAAAGCCCTTTTACTAGAGAAAACGTAGGAAATTAACTAAGCGTAGATGAATTAAAATAACCGCTAATATTATTTAATAATGTCGAGCAAATTGGAATTATTACATTACGCATCCATTTTTTTTTTTTTTAATGGCGATATTAAAATTATTATAAAATCATTGAAAAGAGATAAGTATTCGTTCAATGCTCGGAAAATCATTGAAAAAGATTTGTTAATTTCAACATCAGAGAATCATCGCTTTGTTCCACATGTTCAAAGGTTTCAATTATCCCATTTTTCATTTTGAAAAAGAATTCATTGTTCCAATGCAATCTGCTGACGCGGTTATATTCATAGGAAATCGAGTAAAATTGGAAAGAGTATTGAAAGTAGGTGACGATAGATGAGATCTTACAGTAGAATTGCTCAGAGATGCAAATATATTTGTCCCGTTCCTATTCATCGACGAATAAAACATATTAATAATACAGTAGTTTTTAATTGTGTTTAATAAATATATCTCTCTCTCTTTCACAACCGAATAGAAGAATTGCTGAAGCAAGCGAGACGAAAGATGAGCAGCTTGGAATTTTGTATTTTGCAGATTAAAAATGCTCCATTGAAGTAGGTATTGCCTTCGTAATGGCGAAATTAATTTTGTCGCGTATAATATGGGCGCACGCAATTTCTCGTTGAATGTGCTTTTTTGGAAGCTTTGGGAGCTAAATTAAACATTATGCATGTAGCACATTCAAACCATATTTCCATAATATATGCTTGATTTTATTATATATTTTTTCTTTTTTATTTATAATCACGATTGGACGGCACATTTTCTACCGTTAAAAATATATTATTTTTCAAAGACACGCGTACAGATTCGATAAAGTTTTATTCATCGTATGCTTTTATTAAATTCGAATCATCAACATAATTTGCCATTAGTTTTCATCATATTGCATTTATATACATAATCAATCATGCCACAGTCTACTTTAATTAACAGTATACAGATTTACAATCGAGTTTCATTCCTGTTTACGCGTGCATTTTGTTATAACATCCCACGTGTTAAACGAGAGAAACATTGGTGGAGTGAACGTTTTTCTCCAAAGTCTCGAACTTAGCTTTGACAATAGGTAGAAAGCGAAATTAATTACGTCGACAACAACGCGTGACGCGAGCGACTCGCCTTTCCTCGGCGTTTTTCCTCGTTTGGAAAAACTCGGCGAAAAGTCGAAGATATGAAGAGACAGTAATTTCACCGTTTCGAAACATGAAAATAAGTATGAGTAATAAATAATTTCTTGACGAGGGGAAGAGGAGGGAGGATCCGAGGAGTTTTCAAAGCGGAACAAATACAGCGACGTCGACGCGAGAGACTTAAGAACATCCGTTTGTTTTTGTATTATCAACGTGGCTAATTAAAATAACAATATAAAACAATCCTGTCTGCAGCTAGCGCGAACGCGTATGCAATCATATATTCGCGATTTCAGTTCAGACTTTATTATTAGTGTTATAAAATGATGTCTAGAAATATTTCAAATATTCTAACGAGGCATATTTGTCTTACTTTACAGATTGGTATCAATCCCGGACTGTTCGCAGCTTATAAAGGACATCACTATGCTGGACCTGGAAATCACTTCTGTGAGTGATTCTATCGTACACTTTTATCGTATATTTCATCGTATATTTTAACAAACAAAAAAAAAACTAATTTTATTACGATAAATTAATCTAATTTACTTCGCACCTTAAAGGAAAGCATTCGAGTGATGCGATCATAACTATAAAAATAGTAATGAAAGGTGTTTCGTGACGAGAGCGTTAAGCTGTAAAGTCATAATAATAACAAATGGAAAGCGCGAGCAAAGGAAGAGTCTTGTAGCCTCTGACAGGTACTTCTACCAGGACATGAATTCGCAATTCGAATTCCGAACATCCGTATAAACGAGCACCAATGTGTCCGACAATCGTGGCGCTAACGAACCCACACCATTACCATAGTCTTGCAAGCGAGCCTCGCCTTTGCGTCTCTCGAAGTTTCCGCATAAAATTGCATAATGTTATACCCGCCCCGGGAAAATCGAGTGCGCTTTGCGCGCGCCTCGTCTTAGACGCGCTTCGAGGAGAGTAATTATCAAGTCAACGAGAAAATCAGAGTCGGCGAGAAAAATGGGAGACAGGAGGTGAATGCCGGGAGCGATTATCGTTCAGGGCCATCGTTCCGAAAAAAAAGGAAAAAAAAAATTGGACGATTCATCGCGTAAAGGGAGTAAAAACGCGAAACATAAACGCTAAGTTAATAGAGCTAACTTTTTTGCGTTGATTATTGCGTAATCAGGATTTTGCGATAAATGTAAACTGGGATTCGTAAATGAACTGAAACGAACATTACGAATGGTCAAATTCGCGGATCCGGGAAAAGCTCGTGGAGAGCCTAGCGGCGACCCATGACCCGAGCCCTCATCTCGCGCTTTTTTTCTGCACCGGAGAACCCGGGATCTGAAATCGCGAAGCCTGCATCGATGAGCACACAACGAGAGAGCCGTTGCAAACGCGCATAAATCACCCACAGCGCGGATGTATAAAACCTACAGTTTTAATACGGCACATACCCCATGTACATACGCTACATGTTTATTTTTGCCTTGCTCGCAACGTCGATTAATACATTTTAATATGATTTATATGCGGCACAACGCGGACATAAAAATCTTCATCAATTTCGTACAAAAAAAAAACTCACTCCCGAGAGAAGTATGCCGAAATAATTGGGTCCTTTGTGTCGCGGTCCCCGCGTGACGTGCCAATTTTTCTATTAAAAACAGAAGAATACTAATCTGCTAAAGAAACGTATTTACGAAAAGTTCAAAAAGTTGAAAAGAGATATTTATATCGATAAGAAAAGCTGTCTAATACCTATACATATCAGGATCCAACGGGTAAGACTTTACATCGTTAAATTCATAATGTCAAATTCTACCGAATTTGAGTTAATTTTGATCATTTCTATAGGTCGGCACTACTCAATATGTCATATATTAATTTAATTTAACTAAAACAGTGGGGTAAAACAATTAAACTCAAGAAAGTATATTAAATTTGACTCAAATTTAGTCTATTATTTACCAAGTGCATACGTTAATATCGACGTTGTTTACCTTGAAAGTAATTACAGAAATTATTTACATTTTGAAAGTAAAAAGTAACCAAAATGTTATTTAACTCAAGGGATTTGGTTACGACTATTCCTCTGATATTCAACCGAGTAATAATTTTGATTCGTTTAACTAACGAAAGGACTGTAACGATGCCTGATCGAAGATACAGATGAATTCCCTGCTTTTCTTGGATTCGCGCGCAGTTTGATCACCGACAACGAACAGAGGGAGAGAGCTATCTTCGATGCAACTGCCAAAGCGCACGCACGGCAAGCACGTGCGTATTAATGCGCCCCCATGCACGACGTATCGCTGGCGGGGCCCTCGCGATTTACGTGAACCTGCACGAGTCCGTGCGCTTATCAGCGGTGGGCGCGTTGTACGCATACAACATGCTTAATGTAATGTAGCGTAATATATAATATAAACGCACGGCTACCTGCAGGTTTACGCGCCCGATTATTACACTGCCATAATAGCTGGAGGCGTTTGCTTTCGTCCGAGTGTATCGCGATCAAATATTTGCCCGTACCGACGTAATGACAATATAAGATATATCGGGAAACGCGTACATAAGTAAACGCAGGTGCGGTACTATTAACGCACATTGTTAATCACGAGCATGGTAACTAGGATAGGTTGTTACTTTATTTGTGCGAATCAATCGGAAAAAGCACCGTCCGAGAAAGTATTACGTTAGGCGGTAGTTACGACGCACATTCATAGTTAGGACTGTAATATAATCTTTATAATCCGAATGATCAGAGAGAACTGAACTCTCCTGAACATACGCATTAACTTTATTATCCTTTCACAGGTTAATAACAGAACAATACTTCTTTAAACTGTAATTAGATGTCGTCTGTCGATTGATTCTTTTCTCATCCTGATCCGCTGTAGCGAGAAATTCTACAAGTTACACCCGCGATTTTCTTGACCTTTTCCTATACATATTTTCTCCATTGTTTCGAGTTTCTTGCAAATTTTCTCCATTTCCTTCTCTTTAGAGATCTCGATGATACTGGGAATGAATCGGCGCACGGTGCATTCACGTGCGTTCACGTTCACCGTTCTTACATATGCAATTTCCAATGCGTGCACGCGCGGCGCACGCGCGACCATCCCCGTGCGCGCGTGCATCCGCTCGGGCTTTAAATAAACAATTTTCGCGCTAACGGCCTGGCCGATGCCCATTACGTACGCATACCTCCCGCGGCGCCTGTATACGCGCTCGTACGCAACATCGCCTATGGGGTGTTCCAAAAGTCCTTTCTTTTTTACCTAAAAACTCTGCTATCAAGTCGGAATGGATTCTTTTCCCCTCAAACGTTTGAAAAGGTATTACTTTTCTTCGAGTTTCGTATGTCCTACTTCAGGATTCCCTTAATTTTAATTGAAAAGAAAAAAATGCAAGTCGTATTATTTATGTGTTCGTAGAAAAAAATTTCTCTGCTCCCCATTAGGAGCAGTTAATAAATCCTTTGAGGAAAGAAAGCGATCATGATTCCGGGACACCCGGTAGCTACACGCAACCTCTGCTTGCGTGTGTCACCGGCACACGCACGTGCAGCATATATGCATGCATACATACACGCACACACACACACATATACGGCACGGTGAAGTTAGGTGCACGCCGCTGGATTTTCCAGGGTTTTCCCAGGGTTGCGGTAGAGCGTTGAACCGGGTGGAGGGTGGGCGACGGTGTAAGGGTGGAAGGGAGAGCAGCAGCGAGC